ACAGTTTGCTATTATAAAAATAGTTTCTCATTATGTTTCTTTCCATGGAGCTATTGGTAAACAAAACTATTAATTTAAGCTCTTATTTCCTATGAAGGCTATTTTCTATACAAGAACATTCATACACAGTACTACACTACACAATATGGTCAAAGATAGATTATGTTCTTAAATAGAGATATTTTTAAGTTTTGTACGCCATCAGAAATTGTTCATAAGCTCCACGGAATAATGCTCATCAGTCTGTTTTAATTGTCTAACCCTACGCCTCCTCAATGAAAAAAGCTATTTATTATTTTACCTCGGAGGGACAGCAGAGAAACTGCTGTTGAAGTAAAACGTCTCCTAATATCTTCAGCAGCTGCAGGGTGTAAATCAAATGAAGTTTGACCTCTTCACCGTAAGTCATGGCATATGAAAAGGTATCCCTATTTTTCAGGCCCTTGTATGACTATGAAAAATCTTTCACTGATGTTAAATTCGTCCAATATGGCATTCTTTTGCTGATCTTGGCAATGCGGCAGGAGCATGGAGTTGGTTTACTTTTGTCTCGCTGAAGTCATTTGTCATTTTGATGGAGTGTCTTCATGAAAGTGAAGTCATAATTTGTTTTGCGCAGTTGTGTCTTTGAACAAATCAGATAAAAAACAAGTTACACTGCAGTTGATTACAGTAGGTCTGTTATGACTGGAGACTTTATATTTATCTTTGTGTAAAAGCTATTTTTAGAAGTTTGAAATTCTCTTTTTCCCAGTTTCCTGATAAATGTGAGGATTTCAGCAGCTGCATTCTGGTGCATGTCTGCCAACAGCCACACAAATAACTGAGTTAAAAAGGCCAACGGTTTATGAAGACAAAAAAGCAGAGAGGTTAATCTGTCATGTCTTTTTTGGGAAGAAATACACTTTTTTCTCTCAGAATCCTTTACAATATTATGCAGATGTATACATGCAAAAGCATTCAAATTGCATTCAAGTGTTTGTATTATATAAACATGCAAATGTCAAAAAGCATTTGCATGTTTATAACCCAAACAATATTAAGATATTCAGGGGCACCAAAGGGCAACAGCAACAAAAACATAATTTAATACTTTAACGTCAAATCATAATTGCCATTTTGAGAAAGATAATAGCAGATCAAACATTTAAATAACTAATAAACACAAAGTCTTTTTGACACCCACATCAGGTACAAATAAAACTGTTGCCACCAGCTGTCGAGCTTCGAGCACCTCTAAAAGGTTGCTCTTACCTTTGAATTGTATAAGTAAAATCCCAAATGTCATGGATGTTGTTTACTTTTCTCGTTCCGTTTTATTTAAAAAAAATACTTTCAGTATTCAGTCCAGCGATCACTGTTACCTGAAGAATCCCCGCAGAGTTATTACGCAGGAAAGCAACCCAACATTTCTCCGCACAGTCTTTCAGAAGCCTTCTTTTCATTAGTCAATGAAAGGTCAAGCCTCCTGTGGAAGAATTCAAAATAGACCAAACCAGACTTTGCTGTAATACTGACTAATGCAACACACATTGGTTTGGTGGATTTAAAGGTGAATACACAACTACACGCCTGACTTTCATAATGCAACCCAATGACATCATTCATTATAACAAAGCAAAATAAATATATTGTAATATGTCCTAAGAGCTGTTTCTTGAATCTTAAGATGTGTGTTACATAACGCGTGACCTGTGTTCAAAAATACACATAAAGCAGCCATCTTCATAGAAATCGTTCTCAAACAAAGCTTTGCTCCCTTTATTGAAGTGCATCGTGTCAGCGCCCCAACAGATCTATTTATCCCTGTTAAATAAATGAATAAATAAACAAGAAAGCATTTTGAATACAAAAGGATGTTAGCAGAGAGAGATTAGAAGTACAAGTGCTAATGCATGTTTTGGCCACAGTGTATAGCACTTTTCTTTTAATATGCTGAATGTTGCGTCACCAAACTATTTACGCACGACAAAAAGAGGAACAGCAGTTATTATTACATCAACATTTTCTCTTTTCGCGTGTTTGTGTTAATCCGGAACGTCATTGATACAAAAGGCCAGCAGCCGCTGCTGCTCAACAGCTTTAACCACAGCCCAAATTTTAAATCATTTGTGCATTAAGTGTGTACTAATGGCCCTTCTGGATTAGCTCCATAACCTCTGCACTGTTAGTCATGTTTATGTGCTGCCATGTGTTTAGGGCTGTCCCTCTCTAACCATTAACAGTGATCTGAGACCTCGCTGACGTTTAACTTCGGGTGTGTTCAATCACACACAGCTATGTTAAGACTGAAGGGAATTACATGCATTTATTTGTGCTGTTGAAGATTATGGGGCTTGGCATAAATCATTGTATTTTTTAGCAGCATAAGTCAACCAGTTCAACCCTATGCTTGATGCATACTCCAAAAAATGAGCAGTGAATAAAATGACTAAATCAAACATCTGTTCACTTCAGTGATTAAATACAAAATGCATCATAAGTTTGGAGCTTTACTGTCTCCTCTTTTTGCCTTAAGTACAGATAAGAATAACGAAACTTTCAGTAAGTCCAGCTGTACAAAGGCCAGGGTGTGGAGACTTTGGTGTGGAGAAAGGTCGTGCTGTGAATTATCTGCAGTCTGTTGCCAAAGGACACAAAGTGTGCAGTAGAAAAAAGATCTCCGTGTGCTTTTTGTCCTTTCCTTTCTATTCTGGTGGTCTAAACATCAGAGGCTTGCAGCTATTCATTCAGTCGAAGCAATAAAACGATCTCTACGTTTATAATCAAATTTCAATGATGTCATGTTATGAGTTCCCTTTTCATTCCTTACTTGCTATTTTTTTACGCTTTTCATATTTGATTTTACCGTCCGTGTTTCATTCATTATGGTATTCACGTTTCTGACCTTTAGAAAGCAACAAGGCTTGTTATATTTGCGGAGAGTTGCTCTTAGGAGAGATATATTGCAACCTCCACGGGGAAGCCATTAGATACCCTTAGCTATAAATGTAAAAGTAATATAAATTCAAGTGTTAATCTTCTCAATGTGATAACATTTTATTTCAGACGGATAATGTTTTTTGCAGCACTGAAGGTTTGATTGAATGCCGGGAGATAACTCAGAGGTTGTGGAAAGGTTGCAGTTTTCACATCGTAGGTCTCGGTCCAGGACAACCATAAATTGTCTTTTGAGCTGCATACTCTGCATTTTTGTCCTGTATGCTGGGCCGATTATATCTCTTATTTAAGGGAATAGAATGCATGAGACGTCATCTTCTTAAATCTGTGCACACCGCTGCTTGTTTTTAAAAACTGCTTTGTATTCAGCAAAGATCACTGCTTTCTTCCTAGTCTTCAGCCGTGATAAAACTTGTGAGATATAGATCTCTTATATCACAAAATCTATGACATATATTGGGTTTTTTTTGATGATGGTTACCATTTATTCATACATTATCCTTTGATTTACGCACTTCTTTATTTTGAAATCTTCTGAAACTCTGAACTTTTTTCTGTGTTTGTGAGTTTGTGATTAAAATCTGCCATGTGAAATAATGGTGCACATACACAATATTAGACCCAGATTGCAAAGGAGTACAGTATTTAAGTGTTTGATTTGCTACAGCATTAATCGCTCCCGTTCATTCCTTACCTTTGTCATTGCTATTGATCTCCCAGAAGCTGATACAAGGGGCTTCGCGTCTGCAAGGTGCAAGACCCTTCATGCCAATGTGATTTATCATACCTTTATAGAAAATAATAAGATCTGCCATCCTGTGTGGAATCTCAACGGCTGTGTATGCAGAAATGGATTAGTGTGATTGATGGGAAGGGATTTAAGATGGAATATCTCTTTTTTCTATTCCTATTGTTTTAACAATGGAGGAATAAAGGGGCTGCGGGATGGATAGGTGTAGTGGAATATATCAAAAGGAAGATAAATGCTTTCTGTTGAGGAGTGTTTGGTCAGCAGAATTTTAGAGTGTGTGCTTTGGATGTAACCGAGTTCCACAAGGTTGATTGAATTTCAGATTGTGCTTACCTACCAGTCTTCATTTTTGCATGGGAAACATCTGTTATGTCAGGTTAGAGGAGCGGGCTCTTCCTTTGCAGCGCCTCCTTAGAAACCGTAACACATTTACACTTATGGTTACAAATCATTTAAAAGATGTATCAGATTTGTAATCAATGCTCACTCTGGTACCTTCTTATGTCTATGTGTGTCTTCTGATGATAACTCACGGGTCATTGAAATTATTGAAAGTTTGTTCATTTTAGAAAAATCGTTTTTTTTTTCTGTGAGCTTAATAAAACAATTACCAGTGTTTAGAATAAGCATTTTTAGGTGTATCAGTGATGTAAAGGTGGGGTAGGTAAGTTTGAGAAACCGGCTTGAGATACACTTTTTGTTATATTCCATGGAATGCTCTTAACATCCCGATAGCAATGAATATCTGAAGTGCTTTGACAAAAAATCCATAACAAAATGTCATCTGTGGAATCCGTAGTACTGTAAAAAGCACGACCAATCACGACCTACCTGCCTGTCAGCCTTCCATCTGTGCACAAACTTATCTCGTGCCCTCATTGGTCATGTGCGCGTTCGTGTGTGTTGGAGGAGGGGCTCTGTAAGGAAGTGGCAGATTTTTTCCGGCTGTGTATTTTCAAATTCTAGCGCACTCGAGCTGGTTTCTCCAAAATGACCAACCCCACCTTTAACTTGATTTGTTTGCTTAAATTCTAAGGGGAATTATTCCTTGAAAGTCCTTGAAAAGTCATTGAATTTGATGTATAACGAGTTTTAGGAACCTTACTAATAACACCTACATTCGACTGTATTCTGTACTGAATAACTCAGACCAAGCGCTCCATATGAACTACATAAAGAAGATGATGCATTCAACTGTTATCAAGCGTCTCTTATGTCTCTGGAAACTGACATGTCAGGGATACTACAGTATAAATGTACATATTTTAGCCTCTCTGCTAACATGCCTGTCCACCTGTGTGTTTCCCAGGAGGCATTGGGGGAGACTTCAGGAGTCCATGGAGCAGCGGAGGACAGGAAGGAGAAGGTGCCCAGCCCCCACCTCAGCCAAATGGTGGTCCTCACCAACAGTGGGACTCTTTATGGGCTCGCACAGAGAGTGGTGGCCACTGAATCTCTGTAAGTACTCCAGATAGCAGACAAATATAAAACATGCAATTGTATTACACATTTAGACAGCACACATCATGTTGGGTCTGTATTCCTCTGTTATGAGGGAGAACGTTTAATACAGAAGTGTCCTGGCAGTGTGATGGCAGTTATATCTATCAAAGCATTTTCTATTATCGAGTTAAATAGCTTGATATTTCCTCGATGCCCCTCCTCCAGGTGGTCATCATTTCATTGGGCAGTGTTACACAGGCTTGCCATGACATTTTGCACTGCCTCCAGCTTGTTAAGATGAGGAGAACAAATATTTGTATGAAACAGAGGGTGGAATTTCTTCGCCCCTTATAATAAGCTCTCCCCTATGATTTACTATTTGTGTTAAACTCTTGCAATCAGCGGCTCAATTATTACAAATGTTTCCCCTCTTGCCCGCCTATGTTGTTATTCTCCATGTTAATCTTTGTCTAGTCCATCCACACACACTTCACAAAAGTGCCCTCGTACATAATTAGATTAAACTATAATCATTGCGACAACTCCTGGACCTTGAGGAGTCTGAAGCGTACAAGTGCTTCATAATGAAATTCTGTTAACCAAGGGGCCCAGATGACACCGCTGCAAAAACGCTGAATAGGCGTAAACTCCCTCACACAAGTTTTTCATGCATCTCGGGGCAGCCAAAAGACTCAGAAGAATAATGAAAGTAAAAGAGCTCAAGTGCAGAGGTGGAAATATTTCTCTGGTAAAGTTTGAAAACGAAAAGATCCCGAGGGAGAAACATGTCAGACTTATTCTGGGCAGAACTGCATGAAAAGTATTCCGTCTGAAAAAGGTGTTGTAGGAAAAGGCAGCTTACCTTAGTGTGTGTTGTGAGCATGCAGTGTTTAACCCAGGATAAAACCAAGATAGACTTAAATGCAGAAACTAAAGATAGGAGCTCTGTAAGTTAACCCTCTGTCTGCTCTTCATATTTCAGGCTGTTGTTCAGCTTCCCATGCCTTTCTCACCTCCCTTGTGTTCAATACTTTTTTATCTGTGTCATTCCATTTTATCAGACATCATTTTACCCGCTATAAGTGTGAAATGCAGTGTGGGCTTTTCCTTTCCGTAGTAAAGTTGTTCCAGGTAACCTTAATATAATTGATGCTGCATATTAAAAAGAAAAACATCCTTTGTGCTCATTAATGGAGTTTGGGCAGTGTTTATTAAAGTGCTTTCAGATTTAGCAGAAATAATAAGACAGCACTTATTCATGTTAATTGTTGCTTTTAATATAAATACTTATATTGTAGTTACACATATTCACTGTTGTGCAGCATCCTTACAGATGTTCATTTAGCATGAGTGCTATCAGTTCTCAAAAATTGCAGGTGTTGGATAAATCAGTCAATCAGTCGTTAAGTTATTCTAACCTTTACCTCAGGCTCATATTTTTTACAATATTCCTTGGAATTGGACGTTAAAATCCCAATGCATTCAATATGTGTTGTTTTTGAGATAATATTAAATCCCCCCCTTTTTAATATAAAAAAAACAAGACAACATGTTTCATTTGTACAGAAACTGCACAAATCGTGGAGCTCAGAGTGCTTTCTGAGTGAGATCAAACCAGAATTGGCCCTCATGTCTTTTTGAGTTGTTTTCTTCCTTTAAATAGCACCGTCCGATAAGTTGTGTTGTTGTTGACCTGGAACTGTAAACAAATCACGGGCTGTAGCAGTCGTGCTTTTTAAACTCACTGTGACCCCAAACAGCTCCCTCTCACTTGTATTTAGCGTACAGTAAAACTTCATGGATCAGTGCGAGCACAAAGGTCTTTATTCTGTCACAGTGCTGGAAAGGTTGTATCAGGTCTCTGCATATTGCTTTTGCTATGCCCTGTTTTTCTTTTACTGCTACTTCACTTCGACTCAATGTTTTTAAAGATTGTTAAGATCATTGAAATCTATTCATTATAAAAGAAACACTGGTGCCTTGAGAGATTTTCAATAATGAAAGCTCATCTCACAACGTGCAGAGTTGAGAGATACTTAATGTCGTGACAACGCTGGAGTCTGATTTAATTTTTTATTACACTGATCTTTAATTACAAAGGGGAGGAATTAGATTGCAGCGATGGCAAAGAATGGTGATCATCGAAAAGTAACGCGGCGTCCACACGGCAGCGTGCGTTGAAGCTTGCCGGCGGGCGTGTCTGAAACTCGACCAAGCACATGAATCTCCCGCCCCGGACACACAAGTAGCGGTTTGATTGGCTAGAGCTTGTACTGGCATATGATTTGATTGGCTGACGCTAACCACCGAAAGCTTCAGAAGCTTCTAAAATTTGAACATTGCTCAACTTTTGCAGCCTGAAACGCCAGGAAAGCTCCGCTCTGCTTCCCACAATGCAGTTCGGCGAAAAGTGACGTCACCCCATTCAAAGTAAACGGGCAGAAGCTTCAAACGCCGCTGTGTGGACGGGCCGTTAGACAGCTATCATACTGAATAAATATTTACTGTGAATGTATGCAAAAATGTATGGCATATATATACAGAATGTAAAAGGTACAGTGGGAGTTTAAGTCCAGTAATCAAGCGACGCTATAATTGATGCTTACATTGACTGAAAAGGCACTGTAGACATTGTAATAAAGGACGTTTCTAATATAATAATATATATAATAATAATATACTGTGGCAGATTGTGTACACAGAGATAAATCAGATTCTGTTGAGCCCAAGGCAGCATGGCTCATCTCCGAATGGATTTGATGACGCGTGTCATTTCTGCAGGCATTAAAGGGTACAGGCTGCAGCGTAAATATGAAATAATCATCTGTCAGGTTTGATGCTGCGGCCTGTCTGTTGTTCTCTGCTCTGATTGACAGGTAACGCTGCAGTAAGCATACATGCAAAACTGTGAGGTAATGTGACAGATCATTACCACTCCAGTGTCATGAAGAAAGATAAATGAATCTGACATGTGTGAGTGTTTGCATTTTGTTCCACTCTCATAAATGTCACAAAATTGTTCCTTTAAGGGTTTTGTTCTTATAAATTATATTCTAGTAGTTTTAGAGGGACACTGCATGCATTTTCAATTTCCAGCCATTTCAAATTGAGCTGGTAATTTTTGCTCACAATACCACTTATAAAAATTCCCTATGGTGTTATTTCCAGTGATATCATACTTCTAAGTCATTGGTCGGCTAATTCAAGGAGCATAAAGGCAGCATAATAACTACTGTTGTTCATATCATGAAGTCAAAAATGTATGTATTTACATGCATTTAAACACTGATTTGCATTATTGTAAAAACCTGTTGCTTGTGAAGAGACTTAAAGTTATTGAAATGTATTCAAACTAATTTGGCTTTTTAGCAAGTTAGCTTAAGTTAACTATCTTCCTTCCTAGTTAGCTAGCTTACATTAGCTACCCCACAAACTAGCTAGCAAATGTTATCTATCTATCTACCTATCCATCTATCTATCTATCTATCTACCTACCTACCTATCTACCTACCTATCTACCTACCTATCTATCTATTTATCTGCCTCTATCTATCTATCTACCTACCTACCTACAGTACCTACCTACCTACCTACCTATTTATCTATATATCTGCCTATCTATCTATCTATTTATCTATCTACCTATAGATAGATAGATAGATAGATATATAGATAGAGGTCTCCAGATAGACCCATTGATGGCGATCGGGGTATGAATGTAATCTTGATCTTGAGTAGTAGTAGTAGTAGTAGTAGTGATAGTTACACTGTAGTCTCCTTTAATATGCACTGACAGTAGTTGTGATACCATGAGCTGCCACAAGATGGAGCTGATTTACAGGGAACGATTCACATCAGCTTCTCTCCCTTCCTGTTCTCTGTCGGGACTTCCAGTGTCAGGAGTTACTTTCACTTTGTTCCCGTTGTGACGCAGAAGTTTTCCTCCTCGTTCAACTGTTGGTAAGTGACCGTTTTCAGAGTGTAATGACTCTCAGCTGATCTCTGCTCTCACCTAATACTCATCTCTCTAATGTGGTTATTGCTAACAGTTATATATATTATTGATTATAACAGCTGCAGGCTGCAGCTGCTTTAACAGCATGCTAACATGCTAAAAGTTATAGATGTTTTTAATGAGACAGTTAGCCACAAACAGCTGGTCTAACAACATGAAATCAATCAAATACTCGTTTTAAACTAATATCAGTATTAGGATGCAGCACCAGAGACCTGAGCCTGGTTCTGGACCTGAAGATGGTCCTGGACCTGGATCCAGCTGTGAGTCCGTGAAGAGTGACAGGTCTATGGATCCCCCTCTTACCTTTAAATCTGGCCCTCCTGCAGATGGAAGGTGAGAATGTAAAAGTGTGTAACGTGATAAGCTTTTTTCTAAAGAGTTCACAGTTTCTTCTCCCGGACGCTGGGCCATTGTTCTGTTAGCTCTTTGGTTCTTCAATCAATCAAAAAATGTTTATTTGTATAGCCCAATATCACAAATGTTACATTTGTCTCAGTGGACTTCACAGTTTGTACAGAATATCAGATCATTCATTTGTTTGCAACTTACAAATTCTTCTAACTTAGTCCATCTTTTTAGCAGTGGCGAACCGTCAGGGCCTTGTACCCTGGAACACTCAGATAAAACAAACAAAAAATCGATTTAATTATATAAATAAAATGTAAATAAAATGAATAAATGAGAATCGTATCTGTGTTGTTGATCTGTAATATTACAGTGTTACGTTGATTTGTTTGTCCTTCTCGGACCATGCACTACGCATTTTAGTGGTTTTGTGTTAGAAAAGAAAGCAACCAATCAGATCTTGTTCTGGATCTCTGGGTAGAATATCCTTCAACCAAGGTATTCTTCATCCTTGATAGAATGCCCTGGCCTTTGCACTGAATGAGAGCGTACGTTTGGACTGACAGTTTGATCAACCAATCATATTTGATTTGTAGCCAATGGACGTAGTCTTTTAGAGTTTCCCTCGGTTCCAGGGTATTCTAGAAGGCCCGCTGGTTCACTGGCTCGAGACAAAGGATCTAGATCAGGGGTAGCCAACACGGTGCCCGCAGGCACTTAGTCGCCCGCAGGGGCGACGTGAGTCACCCACCGCAACACAGGCCCACGCACCACTAAAAAAATCTNTCCAGGGTGTTTCTGGCTGAACAGTTTGAATCCCTTCAGTTCCACCTGGACACGATGATGCCGGCAGCCAAGAAGCCCTTCCTGCAACAGTTTTACTCCCAGGTATGTTTACACCTGCTCCCTAGAGTGTGTGTGTGTGTGTGTGTGTGTGTGTGTGTGTGTGTGTGTGTGTGTGTGTGTGTGTGTGTGTGTGTGTGTGTGTGTGTGTGTGTGTGTGTGTGTCGTGTGTCGTCGTGTCGTGTGTGTCGTGTCGTGTGTGTGTGTGTGTGTGTGTGTGTGTGTGTAGTGTGTGTGTGTCGTCAGTGTGTGTGTGTGTGTGTGTGTGTGTGTGTGTGTGTGTGTGTGTGTGTGTGTGTGTGTGTGTGTGTGTGTGTGTGTGTGTGTGTGTGTGCGTGTGTTGTGTGCGTGCGTGCGTGCGTGCGTGCGTGCGTGCGTGCGTGCGTGCGTGCGTGCGTGCGCGCGCGTGCGTGCGTGTGATACAGTTACTGCTAACCAGGTCGTCACTGTCAGCTGGACTCACACAGGCGGAACCAATCATCTCCTTGTCATGTGTTGTTATCTATTATAGAATCAAAGCATATGTCAGAGTCACTATTAATAATTGGTGTTTAACTAATTGGCAGGTTTTTAGCATTTTTGCCTGTATAAATACCCGTTAGTGTCCAAATGAATATAATTGATGATAACTTTGCTTTGTTTTCTCTAAAGTCCTGTTTCTCAGTAAAGCTAAACAAGCATGTAACTGCCAACCTGCATTCAGTGCTGTTCCCCAACAACAAAGGAGAAAATGATCCATTGCTCACAACCACTCTCAGTCTTTTCTTTTTTGTCAACTTGACATTTGAAATGTTCAAGTACATAGACAGGTCTATTTACCCCAAACATGATTTCACTCTTGGAAATATCGTGGAATTGATGACGTGCAAGGTGACCTCGACTCTATGTGTGTCGCGCAAAAAGTTTTCTACGTTCATGACAATAAAAAACACATTGCGTAACTCACAAAGATCTATTTCCTTTTCCCTCTCAGACGGTTTCTACAGCCAGTGAACTTCGGAAACCAATTTACTGGATTGTTGCGGCTAAGGCCATCGACTATGAACAAATGTTGCTCCTGATGGCTGGAGTTAAATGGGACATTAGAGAGATAATGTCCCAGCATAATGTTTACGTGGACGTCCTGTTGAAGGTAAGGTTTCAGAAGAAATGCCAAGGTGATTGTAATGGAGGCTAGACATTCAAATGATGGTATTGGATTCATTAAAGTAAAACATCCACAGAACAAACAACAGGCAACAGATTTGCTTTTAGCTAGCGGGTATTTTCCTCAAAGTGTTTTTGTTTGTCTTGAGAAATGACATCTGTGTTTATCCTTTTAACATCTGTGTCATTAACATTAAGGATTAGTCTTTATTCCACTTAAAGTCAAGAAGTTCCTTGTGTCCCTTTATGAGTTTTAGTTCATTCAGGGACTTTTAATATTAATTATTTGGGATGTGCTGAATAATTGAGCACAGGGTGGGTGAGCTGTTGAGAGTTGAATGCAGATCTCTCCTGAAGTTTTGTTAAATGCGTCCGAGCTCACCAGCCCCGCACGTATTTTTGGAAGTGGAAGATTTCCTCTAAATGTGTGTCTTTATGCATGCTGCCCACTTATCCCCTATAAATGTTGCATGGGATGGAAGGACACACTGCACTAGTTTTATAACCTTTGCCATTTAGAAGCAGAAAGGTCTGAAGGGCTCGCTGCCGTGTGAAATCCTGAGCAGAGCAGCACTTAGCCAAGACTAATCCCTACTTATGCATCTGCATGTTTTAAAAAGCTGCTGATTAAATCAAAATGTAAAACACAGATGTTATTGAAAGGTTTAATAAATAAAAACGCAAAAAGTCACGGTTAAAAGCCTGTAAAAAGATCGCAAACTTGCCTTTTAAATTCTTAAATGGCTCATAGATCATCGTCCAATCTCTTAAATTTAGTCCAACTAATTAAGCTTATGAGCTTTTAAATTACCTGAGGGGAATCTCTGTGTCACGAGCCTGGGTTAAATACCCAACCGTGACAAAGTGGTCCAGCTGATGGACTGACATGATGCATGTTACAACAGGAAGGTACTTTTCCTCATCAGCTGCTAATAGCCCTCTCTGCCAACTTGTCAGACCCTCATAATGCTTATGGATTGTGTTTTTGTGCATTGCTTGAAAAGAGTGCGCTACATTTTCTTGTACTGCACACGGGAGAATATTTTATTCATGAGTTCAGGTTGATCACTGGCATTCAACAATGGCATTGATTTGCATATAAAGTGGCGAGGAAATGCAGCAGCCTCAGAATGACTTCATTGACAAGCTGCTTAAGTCAGAAACTATTGTGAGACTGTTTGTGAATGAATCACATTTCACTCTTGGCTGCAAAATGAATGTTGATTGTGTACGCCTTCAAATTCAGCTTCATGTTGTTTTTTTGAATAAGATGCAGTTTGAATTAAAGCTGAGAGACGTATATTTGAAAAGTCACACCAGGAAAACCACATATTTCTCCTGAGACACATCCATCTTATTTTTGACCAGTTCGGATGTTCTGCAATGTGTTCCCTGTAAACAGCAACGCAATATCATAATTGTATAATATCATCCATAATTGAACAATTCAGAGTGCAGTGAGTAAACAGTGCAAATTCTTTATAGCTACAAAACAGAAGCATCAAAAGAGGTAGCTTTGGGCCACTTGTGACTTGTGTGTGTGTTTGTATCCTGCAGCCAACACCGTCCGCTGAGATGTTTCCTCTTTTTTTCTTTGTGTTAAAACATGAAGGGGTAAGCATGTGGAGGCCGGTTGTAACAACTCCCTCAGGACTGGTGTCCTTTGTATGTACTTGGGCATGAAAACCATGTTTTTTTTTGCAAGAAATGGTGAGATCTCTGATGTAACTATAGCACAAATCTCAAATGTAATATCAAGTGTGTATTGAAAGATATGATTAAACAGTCCAAAGGCCGACTATTGTGCCTGAATGCATCAAATAGTGAATGAATGAGTCCAGTTTGGATGCCCCCAATCCTACGAAGAGTACTTAGCAGTGCTCAAAAGATTTGTTTTAACGCATGATTTGTGGCTTAGTGGGTTCATACTTCCTGCTCCGTTTGCTTCAGGATGTTTTGTTCGTTAGTCCAGACTGCAAACTCATTAAATCAGCTCGGCTAAATCAGAGTTGCGTTACAAAAACCCAGACATACTATAGGCTTGGGAAAAAGTATTTATCCTTGATCACTTCAAGGTTCTTGTACCCATATTTAGAATCGTCTTGGTTTTGCCTAATGTATAAACCTGCTTGATTTATAAAAAGAGATTCATGCAAATCCCTATTATAGTTTATTTGTGCACACTGTAAATAACCGGGTTGTGAAATTCACAGCACGAGGTCGTTTTATAACACTGTTCAGCTTTTCCAAGTACGGTTTGGTGTTGGAAGTCATCCAAGAGTAGCTGAGAGTGAGTCAGAGGAAGTGCATGTATAGGGTCGGCCGTGAAGACTTTTATTTTGTTTACATCTTCCAGTTCAAGTTTTATCATCCCATACTGGCTTGTTTCCTCTGTACAGTCAATACATTATAATATACATAGGTGTGTGTTGATTTATCAAACCTTGCACAAGCTAATAAAGTGTTTTACATTGAGATAGTATGGATACTTGAAATTCATTTATTTTGCTTCTTTCTATGCCACTCAAGTTAACTTGACTTAATATGTTCATCTCTCTCCTCTACCTTCGCAGGAGTTCGAGCAGTTTAACAAACGTCTGGAGGATGTTTCCAGACATGTACGCATCCCCCTGCCTGTGTCCAACGTCCTGTGGGAGCACTGCATCCGCCTGGCCAACAGGACTCTAGTAGAGGGGTAAGAGAAGCCATAAAACACCTCTTCAGCTTCAAGGGGAGGTGTGCAGTCTGGCGTCAGTCTGCTGAGGTAGCAGCCAAAGCGGCTTTTTTCGTCACTTTGAATTATTGTTGAAATCTCTGTAGAACAACACACTTTATTGGGTGTCATATTTTCTTTATGTGTCAAACTGTAAATCAGCGGGACACAGTTCTTGAAATGCACATTTATTTAGACAAAATATATTTAATTAGGTTTGATAAAGCTACTTCCTGTTTGTGCCTCAATATCTGATGAATAGACAATAGACTTACATGAAGTTTATCTTATTGGATAGTCTTTCCAACTTGTCAGAGGAGATTGCAGTTATTTGAACTTCACCTGAGCGTCATAGACTTCTCTTTACGCTTTGTTGATTTCCACTTATTCCCCCTAAGAGCACATCCAGAGCAAAAGTACACAGTGTGGAGTTTGCCCTTACTTGGTGTTGTCACGGCTGGATTTCCCACACAAGCAAGTTACATCCATTTATTTATATTTATATGTGCATATCCAAGATTGAGTCGTAGTGAGGTCACCTACCCACAAAAAATGTCAGGAGAAAAGCTCCAGAGGTCAAACTTAATCCTACATGCTATGAATTCACTTTTAGCGTTTTCCTGCTAATAAAAAAAAAGGTGTTGTTACTTTGTGGATTTCCTTCCAGTAAGCAGTTCCTACCTGAATTAATGCATTATTCACAAATATATTAAGTCAAAAAATAAAAAGTCAGCAATCCTATTGATAGTTTATCGGTTTAGTAGAAGCCTCATTCAGGTGTTTGTGAATTTAATATTTATTTAGGAAATCTCAGAAAGCTATTCAAGAATCAATTCGGGTCTGGAAACCAAAATGCAGGGACAAAGGAAATGCATATTGCTCAACCCACATTTTGGTGTCATGAATTATTCAGAACTGTAATGTTACCAAGCTAAATTACAGGCAGACCCATACAACACCGATTTTTCTTTCTTACGTCCACAGGGAATTTTAAGTCTATTGTCACGTATCGTTATGACAACCTTTTTGTGCTTGAAAATGTCTCTGGGGTCACAGTCAGAGTCTAAGCTGTACACTTTCCAACAGCATGTGTGAGTCACTGCATCCCACTCTGTAAATTTTCAGAGATAATGATCGAGGAGAAGTGGAATTTCTCTATCCTCCTAAAGTCTTTCTTTGTTTATCTCTCAGTTTGAACATCTGCGCATCATAAATTAAAAGAGAAAAATGTTTCCAAAGCATGTTGTCAAATGCCATGAAGACCAAGGGGAAATTAGCTACAGTACATAAGAAACTTAGAAACTGCGTTGCCAGGTTTCTTTTGAATAATCCCGCAAAGAAAACACAATCTAAATCCCCGGCAGATCTTTCTCTCCTCGTGCTGGCAACCCTGTGTGCCAGTCACATCTGTTCATCGGGGAGTTGCATTAAACAAGCCACTCACAAAAAGTGTAAAACGTTCTTGACAAATCCCTTATAATGCATTTCAATTTTTAAGCGAGACATATGGGTTGTGACAGGTGACAGAGCCTCAGAGTGTTTTTCCTCATCACCTGCATCACTTCACTCAGAGTGTGTGAAAGTGTGAAGTTTTCAAATTGAAGGTGTGATTTACACCCCCGCAGACTGGATGCACAGCAGAGACGCTCGGCCGTAACGGAGCCAGTCGCTAGCAGCCGACAATTATCATGAGGTTACACACATTTTTATTGAGAACAAGAAATTGGCTGCTGTGGAGCCCGACGTCGGTCTGAGCCGCTCATTTGTTCGGTTTGCAGTGAGAGTTTATGTGGGGTTGTAATAGCAGGCGGAGAAAATGGTCCGTTAAATGGTTTAGTGCCTGCGAAGTGTTTAAAGAAGGACAACATTGGATATAAAGCCTCAGTAAAAAGCTTGCCCTCACCCACTGAGAAAAGGGAACATGTTTACATCCCAACACATTCGCTGAGCACTTTTCTTCCCATTGCGTAAGAGAACTTTTGAACCCATTCCAGCGAACAAATGGCCCATTACGAATGCGATGCTTGGCATCTTGAAGCAGCTTTTGCAGACTCCTGCCGTCTGCCTGGTTCTCCAAATACATTCCCTCCACACACACATATCACCCCCCCCTCTGCCACAGCGAGGCGCGGTGGTGGTCATATTTGTTTGTTTCTTCTCCGCCTCGCTTAGCCTGTTGTTTAATTTCTCTGTCCAGCGCTCGACTCCCCTCAGACTCCGAGAGATGGCTCTGTTAGCATTCTGAGGCGAAGCTCAAACACTCAGCGCCAAACGCTGGCAGGCCTGAAGCAAAGGGACGAGAGAAGATGACAGGGGGTGAGAGGGAGAGAGGGTGTGAGGCAGAAGATGGAAAGAGAAGAGAGAAAAGATGAAGTGTGAGACACAGAGAGCGGTCTGTGGTGTGCTAATGTTCTGTAGATGTCACAGTCACCGACCTGCCAGTGGACAACATTCTCAGCTGCCAGACACCTGGAATATCAACACACACACACACACACACACACACACACACACACACACACACACACACACACACACACACACACACACACACACACACACACACACACACACACACTGAACTACATGTGTATGACTAGCCCACACACACTCTTCCTGACATTCCACAGACAGCTCAGTGGAACAAGCTGACTTCATATTTAATATTGGACACATGCAGACACACACATGTCACACACACACACACACACACACACACACACACACACACACACACACACACACACACATATGTCATGTTTATAAAAACACACTGCAGTCTTTAAATAGATGATTTAACAACTGACTCTCTGTTATAAATATCCATTTAATTTTTTTTAACATACTACATTTCAATTGATTCTTTCATAAAAATACACAAACACTCTTGTCCAAATATTTAGAAAAGAAGAAAAACATCACAGATGTAATCCAAGGTAAAAGAACAAATTAAAAGTAATCAAACTTTGAATAAAATGAAAGCATGGGGAATAAAAAGCACAAAATAATAATGATGATTGATTTGTCTTTGTTACATCTCAGTCTAAAATGAAATGTGTCTCATGCAGGTTTCATTATTATTAATATAAATGGCACAAGTGTTTTCACGTATATCTCGTTTTTTTATTTCCATTCATGAATAGTTTTTACACTCTGATGGATTCTGAGTCTCTCCCCTAACTTTAATGACTTCCCATTTCTTTGTTAACTTCGCTGCTGGAGCTTTGACAGATTCCTTTTAATTCTAATGTTTATAGAAATTGGCATAAGACGAGCTGAAACCCATCTCCCAGACCATTTTTTAATGCATAACAAATTCACACCAGGGAGCTAAAATAAGAAAGTAAAAACAGTGCCACATGGAGTTCGAGAAAAGAGTCTGCTGACAGATTTGGCTCGCTAGTAAGGAATCCGTTTATTCAAGGGTGGAAAATGTGATAGATTTCCCCTCGGCCAGACACATATGACCAACACCTGTGAGGACTTTGTTGAATCAAAAGAAAAAAGGACAGGCTTTCCAGTCATCGCCCACCTCCACCTGAATTCTACACTGCTAATGTTCCTCTTTCCCTTTCTGCTGTTTCATCCTCTGCTGCAGCTATGCTAATGTGAAGAAATGCAGCAATGAGGGTCGGGCTCTGATGCAGCTCGACTTCCAGCAGTTCCTCATGAAGCTGGAGAAGCTGACCGACCTGCGACCCATCCCTGATAAAGAGTTTGTCGAAACCTACATCAAGGCCTACTACCTGACGGAGAACGACATGGAGCAGTTTATCAAGAACCACAGGGTGAGACGGGAGGAATGGAAGATGGTAGCGTTACACTGGAAAAATTGAAACGTTGACTCGAATTAAATGGTTCATGTAAAAAAAAAAATAACATTAAAGGTCCCCTATGATACTGTTTTTCATCAATATATTATAGGTCTCATACAAAACATGTCCCTGAAGTGTTTGGCTCCAAATACCAAACAGATCATTGCAGCATCCCATAATCCCCTGTGTTTCAAAAGTGCTGATGTGGGGGGGGGGGGGGGGGTTACCTTGGTTGCTGATTGGCTAATGGTTTCATAAGCCAAAAAATCGTTATGACATCATAAAGTGGCCAAAATCTAATCAGCTCATTTTCAGACAGGTTTTTATATAAATGGATCAGGACAAAAAGTGAGCAAATCTTTTTTCGTGAAACTTTCAGAAACTCTTTACACGGAGCGGACACATGTTTATCTAGAAAAGACATGAAAAAGTGGATTTTGCATAATAGGTGTCCTTTAAGTTTAACCTACGTGAATTTATGCTTTCAACTAACCTAATACAGTTACAAAAAGTAATATGTTTAATAAAAGTCAACGTTTTTCAGTGTAGCTTCTATGCAACACTACATAAAGTTTCATTTTATTTTCCCAGACAAATGTCAACACCCGCGTTTCTCTGAAAGCCTCATGCTGAGAGGCAGCGCGCCGGCTCTGCTGACTCCCTTTTTGTGTTGTTTTTTCTTCTCAGGAGTACTCCATGAAGCAGCTGGCCAACTTGGTGAACGTTTGTCTGGGTTCACACATTAACAAGAAGGCTCGTCAGAAACTGCTGGCCGCCATCGATGACATTGACAGACCCAAGAGATAGGCTGATGAACGTAGCAGACCCTGAACACATCATCCAGCCACGGAGACGGACACTCCAACAGAGGAACTCCCACAGTGGAGCGCAGCGCTGAATGTCTTCATTTTCACTTTTTCGCGAATATGTTGTTGTGTTTGATCTGTACAGCACATACAGACGAAGAGCTCCTGTAGGCAGAGATGTAAAGCTCAAATGTTAGCCAAATGCTAATATCTGTTGTTGTGGTAAAAAATAAAACTTGATGTCACTGCAGTTACTCTATGCTTACAGTAGATGAACCATAATGCATGCCCCCATCAAGTTGTCATTTAACAAACATGCTGTGCTGAAGGTTTTCCTACAAATTGTCTGCAACAACAACAACAACAACAACCATTTGAACCTCTTTAACGACCATAAGCAACAGATATATTACTACAAACACAAGATCTATCAGTGTAGTGTGACCATTTGGCTGTTTATGGCATTCCATCTGTTTAACAGAATGTTATTAATTTTCTGATACAACTCTAACCTTGAGCTGAATTCATTTGTTTGTCGCATAATGTTGTAAAGTGTTGTGGTAATATCGTCCCAAGGATAGATCCAAGAAGCGTAAGGCACCTTTACTTTCTTGATTGATATCCAATAGATCTCGCGTTAATCATTCATCACATAAGTTATTCCCTCCTTAATGTCCTGTGTTTTTATTTCACTTCAGGGTATTTGTTGTGCCTGAACGCTCTGCTTCTTTTTTCTGTTTCTTTTGTCGATGAATGACATAAATCTAATATAATGAAGGTTCCGAAAATAATATAAATTGCTGTAGTTAGCATTAATATAGAGTAAATCTGAACTAGCTACATTTGTTTGTTTTCCATTTGTCAAATATGAGGTTTGTGAAAGAGATGATCTTGACATTCAGTCTCCGGCCTTTTTGCTGTGTAAGTTTGTGCAGTCAGGTACTAATGATGTGATTCCTCATGAGTTAGTAGTTGATCTGTGTCGACTACGACTGCTTTCTGTAAGGCCCCCCCCGCTCCACTCCTCTCCATTAGTTTAACTGGACCAGACCTGCTGAGTGGGCAGATTTGCGGGGGGGGGGACTGCTGTAACAGTTTTTGATATGGCTTCAAAATTGTGTGTTGCAACTATTACAAAAAGAAAACTGTAAATGTGAATGTTTTGAACAACGTCAGTATTTATTTCTCGCTTTGTGTCTCGTTTGGGTTTTTATATGATAACTGGACATGTGCTTGTCATGTATCACCTGAAGCTAATGCAAATATTTAAACATTGTCAAATAAAGTCCACTAGTGAAAATCAGTAATCGGTGTTGGATGTGTAGGTTGAACCAAAAATGATTCTGTGGTAATAAACACACTAACAATGGACTCTGTTGTTCTCACTTCCTACATTCCCATGAATCAGATGCATAACTATAAATCAGATCCAACCTTTGAAATCTCTGCGGTGCTGCACTTCATCGTTATCACCATTCATCAGAATATTAGTCTTTCCTTCCAGCTTTGCGGCTGTCCATCCTAATGAAGCTGAGCTCAGCCGTCACAGTAATTAATGTGGCTTCCTGCGAGCTTACAAGCCCTCAGCCTTCCTGTTTAGGAGGAGCCTGCTGATCAGATTGAAATGAAAGAGCTGTTAAGGACTCATTATAACGGCATGACTTTTTTTTACCACACTTTTGACTTCACTATCAAGCTGAACCCTTTCTTCTGGACAGCCAGCCACATGTTTGCTGCCAAATATAAACAGACAGGTGACATTGCCTACTGCTTTAAATAGATGTCTCCATTGCACTAGCAAATAATTACCCATTGCCTTAATGCATGAATATATTAAGTCCTCTTTTAAACAGATTTGTCCACATTACATCCAACAGAGTAACATTCATTTATGATTAATTTATGCCTGCTAGAGCATGGCCGCAGACAACATGTTTTTGGGTTGTCCGTACATCATGTTCTCATAAACAAGTTAACTCAGGAATGCTAGGAGGGAATTTCTTTGTCCCAAACGTCCACGTGGTTCAGAATTTAGTGGTTGGAGGTCACTGTGATCTTGCAAAATATGTTTTGGGCCATAACTAGCTGCTAATTATGACAATTACACATACATGTCTAATGGGATCAAATTAAGTGATGACCTTTTGACCAGACATCGATTTCAACTTCAACTTGACTGATTGGTTGAGGCATACAACTGCAAAGCGATAATGAAATAATGACAAATGACAAAACTAAAACTACCATGACATCTCAAACTGTTCAAATCTGTGCTGCTGCGCTATTCTGATATTTATTATGTTAACTTAAAATGGTGATATATGATAATATTTAAATCATTTTTTTTTCAGTTTATGTGGCTGTGGCTGAGTCTTTTACTATTCAACAATTGTGTACCGCATTTTTTGCAGAGCTCCCCCCCCCCTCCTGTCCTCAAATGACCTGAAACCGTTGCTCTCCCTGTTCTTGCGCGACACATTTTGGCATTCGCTTGGATCGACCCCCTCATGTGACGCCGAGTCCCACTTACCCTTTCATATAATAGACCAGGTGCACACAGATCTTTGTTTTTTTGCTTCTGCTAAAATTCGTGAGCCATTCTCATAGAGATCCCTATCGCTGTACATGTCCTCTTTTCCCTCGCTGTCACCTGATATGCATCATTCAAAAGACTTGATTCGCTGTCTGAAAATAATTGCTGGCAGAGCGTCTTAGTGATGTTTACTTTGCATGATGATGGACAAGACGAGATGTGACAGTACACAAGGAGAGAGAAAACTAAATGTGGCAACCTGATGATATACTTGTAGTAGCCTACATGAACAAATACATGTTACAGTATACATATCATTGACGGCGGATTCAGCAGTCCTCATCCATCAATCTTTTTTTGTATGTTCTTTTGCGGCCTGGGGCGGTCTTTTATAATCTTTTATCTAATATTGATCAAATCTCCTGAACTCCTCTGACACTTTAAACAAAGGTTTGTATGTGAAGGTTGCAGACACAATCCTCAACCATCAAACATTTAGTAAGAGGTTTTGATCAAGTCTTTGGTGAATTTTGCAAATATGTATTTTAAATGTGCACTATTGCCAGTTTGAAAATGCTAGTTTAATGCTAATGTGTAACACTCAAGGTGTGTGCCACTCTGCATCCGTTATTCAGCTTTTTAACAGACATTACACTTCAAATGAGTAATGAAACCCTATAAGTTCTTACATATACAATCCAAATCATCAATGATAACTTGTAGATTAGCCACTCTCAGTTAACTTTTAGATTTGTTTCTGAGCTGTAGCTGTTGTGGGGTTTAAATTGTTTATCTACGTGTTGTTTGCTTCGGTTATTTTGTATTCTGCTGTTGAAGAGCCGGGCTAATTAAGGCTCTTATTGCTCGTTCCACCCTTTGTTGTGTTTGTAGACTTTCTGTTTGTTATCGACCAATTTGCTTAATTATCTGAGTTCTATCAAGGACAACAATGAGCAAGTTGGTTTTATATTTAGAATTGAGTTGAGGGCACAGACTGCACATTCCTTACAGTTATTTTACTTGAGTACTCTTTGTATTATCACCTTATAAGACATGAGCTGTACCTGGCTCCTCGAGTATTTCATCGGTTGCATGATCGTTTTGTTCAGAAAGTGATGTGACAAAGGGCTGAATAGCTTTGTCCTCCCTGAAGGGGTCAGCTGTCACTATACTGACAGCGAAGAGAGGAACAGAACAAGGGTTCATCTCAGGAGATATAGGGGTAGAAAACACATTTTGCGTGTCAGGATAAGTGGAATCCCCATACACACATGAAGACCTTTTAATCTCAGTGTCTCACTAGGTAAGAGCAGAAAATCGAAACAGTAACAAGGGACCTGTGCACGGTAAATTTGTGCTCTCACAATGACAGCACGGTGTATTCCCAGAGCTTTTAATTAAAGCGCTTTTATTGATCTAGCCCTATCAGCTAACAAACCCCACTGTGCTGAGGAGGGAGTTCAGAATTGTTCATGGCATGTGGTTCAGCCATTCGTTACACTGTGCAAATTTGTCTGGTTACTCTAACTAAATTATTTCGCCTGCTATAAAACAAAAATAGAATTACATTAGACCAACAGCGAATATGGGCTTTTAGATGTTAAGAAAACGTCCAGCAGAATGCATAAAGGGAGTTTTAGTAATCCAATAAACATAGTCATTTTCCACTATTTAATGAACATAATACCAGTGTTTTCTATCCCTACTCACTTGCATTACAGATTGAAGCGACTAATTGGATGTCAGACTCCACTGCGTGAACCTTCACGACGGCCCTCTGAGAATCTTGTTCCACCAGTCGCTATTAATTTGTTGCTTGACTAGCTGTGCTTCAGCGGAAACAAATGTTGTGACTGGGCGTAAAAATGAGCAGGGCAGGAATACCTTTCAGGAAACATTATGGCTCACCGAGGTCGGGCTGTCAATCTGAGTCTGAGAGGACGGATAGATATTTGTACCTGAGGAACAGACACAATATATTGACATTGTGTTTGATACTTCAAAAGAACAACAAATACAATGTGACACAAAGCCTTCTTGATGTATTTTCCCCAAATAACAAGCATGCACTTGGAATCAACCGTCTACAGACACGTGACGAATCAACCCTTTGGTTCCAGTTTACACCATGTAATAATGAACATCATATCAGCAGCACTTTCTTGTGCTGCTTGAAAAAACCCTCACACAAAACACAAAGTCAATAGCCCTGTGCTGGATGATGGGTATTGAATTTTCTTCTCTGTCCTGTACTTATGTTTTGTTGTAAATTACTGGGTTCCACACAGTTTAAACATACCTTAGACATCTCATTGAAGGTCAGGGTGAAGGTCTATTTTCCAAGGGGGAAGACAGATGTAGAATCACAAAGATGTGATTATGATTAAAATGGAAATCAGTTTTTGGTTCTATGTGCTCGCAGCAAGAATACCTTTCTACTGTATACTTGTCTTTGTTTCATAATCTCAAATCCCATGCTTCAAATGATGGCTATTGACATTTTCATTGAGAGGTCATTGAATAATAACATTAGTTAGAATGCAACTGCAGGTCAACTTTTGCATCACTGTGTGTCCTTGTTATTATACCTTTCCATATATGTGTTCAATGGCCTTTCCCCGCTACTGACAACAAAATCAGTGACCCGATGAATATTCAGATTTCTACAAACCGAATATTCATTGGGTTTTAATACTCTTGCATATTTTTACATTTCCTGATAACAACTGACTCATATCCACTCTGCCTAATAAGTGAGCCGTGAATGAGGCCCACAGTCATACAGTAGAAGAGAGTGAATCACACTAATAGACTGAATATTTATCCTGGCAAACAAACATGAGATTATTCCACATTATTTCATGGGTCTTGCCCTCTCTTGTCCTCCCTCTCACCACACTGCAAACAGAGGCATGGCGTTTGAGTAGTGATGACACAGATAGCAAATTAGAGTCTCTGTATTCCATCAGCTACAGTATCTCACCGATATAACCGTGTTTGTATAGCCTATCATTTCTCAAATATTTCTGATGATTGTCGTGTGTACTCAAATATTTTGTTGACAGAGTAAACAAGAATCTAGATAATCCTGGACGACTCCCAAAATATAAATACCCAGGTTACTGTAGATTGTAATTTGAATACCGTGACAGAGGAAAGAAGAGGATGTTTCCTGTCACGTACAAAGGTTAAAAAAAAGTTTATAATGACGCGATAAAACAAACTGCAAGCCGCAGTGAAACTTGAGCGATTGGAGCGATGCGAATATTCGCATTGCATCCGGTGTGAACGCAGCATACGGCCCCTATACACGGCGGCGTGCTTTATGCTGCGTGAATGTGTGAATGTGGATTCATGTCACATGTCACACATACATGCCACATTGCCATTCACTTTGAATGGGGTTACGTCACGCTTTGCCGAACTGCATTGTGGGAGCAAAGCGTTGCTCGCTTAGTAGAGCAATGTTCTACTTTTGAAGCTTTGACGGAAGCGTCAGCCAATCAAATCCTGTTTATGCAAATCTACCAGTACAAGCACAGATTCCACCGGGTCCGTCTGCGTCGCACGGCTGCGACGCGGTGTTAGCAAAGATCGCGGCCACTCTAGTCAATGGGTGCTATTCCACCAGACGCGCCGCATTACGGGTCACGGCCCGTCCACACAGCGGCGTGCGTTGACGCTTCACCATTCACTTTGAATGGGGTGACGTCACTTTTTGCCGAACTGCATTTTGGGAAGCGACGCGACGTGTTGCTGGCGTTGCTCGCTTCAAAAGTTGAGCAATGTTCAACTTTTGGCGCCTCGGCAGAAGCGTCAGCCAATGAAATCCCGTTTA